GAAAGAAAGCTGTAATGTCAATATTCCCATAACAATGACAAAGATGAGACATAAAAGCAAAAAACAAAGCAATCTCTGCAAAAGCTCAAAAAGCTCAAATAAGTAAGCTGCCTGCACAACATGCCTCATTTAGAAAAAGAAAAAAAAATCAATTTAGATTTTTAGCTTCCAACAATTAAAACACGACAATCAAGATAAAACGATTAATTTAAAGAGGTGCTTTTCACCCATCATTAAAAGCCCAAACTTAAAGTCCAAATCAAACGTCCCAGTCATAATATGTAGTCTCCTGCAGGACATGTTTGATATTAAAAAGAGTTATAAAAAGTAGACTAAGCCACAAAAGAGAACTTGCGCTGTTCCCCAGGCAGGACAAGAGAAGTCAAATTTGGGCCTTGAATATTCAAATAGACACAGTCGGTTGAACATAAACAGTTGGGAAAGAAATCCAATGTATGACAGTTAATTAGATTCAAGCATTCGGTCTTCGTGACAGCAGCCTGCAATATACCTGCTGCCGTCTGTGTTGGAAAATCATTCACTGCTCTGGACTGAATAACTGTAGTAGCTTTAATATACTGCTAGATTAACTTGCATAAAAAAAACTTAAAGTATTGTTTATTCTATTTGTTTTTATTATTATTATTATTATTAACATAGTACAATATTTTAATATAAATGCATATTTGCTGAATGCCAATGGTATATAATTTAAACAAAACAGCTTTCAATGCAAAAAGACTTAACTGAGTGCATGGTTGGTTACAGTGTTTACTTCCTTTTTAGTCATGTTTGTAACAATTTTGCCAAATTTAAACTGCAAATGTGGCACAGAAGCGCTTCTGAAGGGACATTTCTGTATTTGTGAATCAAGAAATTGCTATATAAAGAATAAATCTATATATTTTTTCAAATTGAATCATTTTCTAAATAATTATTTCTAATTAAGTAAAAATGTAAATTAAATATGAACTTCATTACAGTAATTGTTATTTACGATCCTATCCTACTACCAATGGTAGTGCAGACAGTGAATCTGATCTACATTTAATTGATGTCAAAATGCCTATTCTGATTGACATTTCTTCCTCTTCCTAATGAAACTTCACCTTAGACTGTGTCAGAAGGATTTAAGTAAACTTTTTTGGTGGTATTTTAGAGGTCATCAGTGACTTCAGGCCATCAGTACAGATAATATTTTTGTGGACACTATTTAATGTTTTCAAAAAGATTTTTTAAAGCACCCAAAATTCCTGAATCAATTGTCCACAGTCTAAGCTTTGCAAACTGGGAAAATAAACTACATGTACTGACCTGTGAGGGATGGACAGTCCTCCATCCACTGCTCCTTTGAGAGCTCCAAACACTTTGTTCCCTGTGGTGGTTCTGGCGAGTCCAGCATCCAAGTAGCATGTAAATGCCCCTGGCTGGCCATCAATGCTTTCCACATTAAATTCGTCGCCAGTTACCTCAACCTGGCCTTCGTAAACGTTATCCAGACCAAACTTGTTCAGCAGCTGTAAGCAGAAAGCAAGTCTGAGTATGATTATACTCTGAGATGTGAACGGTACCAGACATTCAAAATTGATGAGGACATTTACCCTGCGTGCACACAGTAAACCGGTGCAGTAGGCAGCAGCATAGTTTGTCAGTCCAACAGCAATGCCATACTTTGGCAACTCGTGAGAGTAAGCAGCGCAGACGATCGCGTCGCCTTCAATTTTGGCATATGCGATCTGAGAAAGATGCAATATCATCCTGATACATTCAGCAACACAATGGTAATTAATAACATTTCAGTAACGGTGGCAAAGATGACATGGCAGTAGTTGTACCTGGCAAACAATATCCCTGTTGGAGAGTCGAACGATCATCCTGTACTTCGGTGTGTTGTACTTGTTCTTGTCTTGAATGACAAGTCGCTTGCGGGCAAAGTAGTCAGTTTTTCCCTCTGAAATGGTCAATTATGTTAGTCAACTGTTGAAAAACCATTCTAAGCTGGCTTGCTGGTCCAAGAGGGGTTTTATCCACTTGAGACCATCTTACTGACCAGCTAAAAACCAGTATGGTCAGGCTGGCAGACCAGTATAGGTTGTTTTGAGAAGTTTTTACAGCAATAATTAGGCCTGTCGCAATAATCAATATATCGACTTATCGCGCAATATTGTACATGACCGCAATCATTTTTGGTGACGCAATATATCGCCCATTATATTTACTTAAAAATTTATGTCACTATGTTTTGTACATTCCATTTGCGCCTGTGTCTTTTGCAGCTTCTTGTACATAACGTGGTGTAGTCATGAGGTGCTAGTTCACATTTAAAAAATGCTTCTACAAAAAAAAGTTTCATCTGCAGATATGGTCTTGTTTAGGGATCTGTGCCTTTGTGCATACGGACATCTGACTGCTAAGTAGGGATTGTGTTTTTCAGCAATAGTGCTGTGCACCCTTAATTTACAGAGAAAAGAAGATCAGGGAAAAATCTGTAGATGGAAAAAAAATCTCTATACAAGTTCTTTGTGCATTTTTCTTTTTTTCTACATGTTACTTTGCACTTTTTGTTAGAAAATGTTTATTTGCTATTTATTCAGGTTTTTTAAGGGATCTAATATTTTGATACTTAATTTCCATGATCTAAATATTCTTAAAAAATTAAAGTTTGTTGTCATTTGGAAGTGCGTTGGCCTTCTTGCATTATTATGCTGTTACATTATGATTATATATTCAGTGGCATAAAACGGTATTTAAAATGACAATAATATCACTTATCGCAATTATTTCTGGGGCAATATATCGCACAACAAAAAGTTGTTATTGTGACAGGCCTAGCAATAATACACTCGGGTCATTTCATTGACAAATGAAAACATCCTTCAGTTAAGATAAAGGTAAGGAAACACCTCAACATACCTCGCCTCCTCCTGAACTTGACCTGGTATCTCTTGAAATATGCCTTGTTCTTAACCACCTTAACGAAGCCCTGCTCAAAAAAAACTATTGTTTAACTGTTGACAAGCATGACTGTCCAAAACAACATATTCGGAAGCAATATATGACACTCTTGGGTCACATATTGTCATAATCAAGTGATGCAATGCGCTACGTGACAGTAAACCTGAAACTGAATAAAGGAACGAACATCTAACCAGGGCAAACAAAAACGACTCCAGAAGGAGAAATGTTTATTGTATGCGCTTTCAGTGTCAACAAAATTATTACTCGAGTATTTAGAGAAAAATGTGCCACTGACGTTCACGCAGCGACTGGTCTGATTGACTTAAATCTATAACCATCCCGTCGCTTCAAGTGTTCCATCTTTAATGGAAATCGAGCTGAAATAGCGGGAGAGGGAACGTAATGAGTAGAACATTGTAGTTTGGTGATTTACTGACCATTTTGTGATCGTTTGTTCTCCTTTAGGTTGGGAGACTGAAATCTTCAGACTCCGATACTGCTCCCGCTGCACTGTGAAAAGGAAGTTCATGCTGCACTGCGACCAGAAAATCAAAGCACTCGGAGACAAAAGTGTGTGCTCCTCTAGCGTCCCGGAGGATAGACGGCAGCATATTCTAATGCATGAAACTTCAACATTTCATTCAACTGCATAGATAGATAGATAGATAGATTCAACTTCATTATTACAAATGCATAATGATTTATTTATTTAAATACACAGCATGCAAGTTTCAATAGAAATTACATTTAAGTATATTTCAGTTTACCATAAATTTAACAGTACACTTTAACCAAATTCCAAAAACACTAGAAGTAATTATGAAATAACAATGTCCAACTTAATTGGGCCAGAAAGTTAAGCTAATTGCATTTAATATAATCCATTTTCATTTAACTGCAATTAACATGCAGTTAAGTGTTAAACATTACATTTATTTGACACCTATATATTATTTTAAAGTATATTATTTCTTTAATACATCTTTTTAAAAGTATGCTAAAGTGTACTTCTTTTTCACAAGATTTTGTTTTTAACTTGCCTTAGGAAACCATAGTGAATTACAGCTATCTAAAGAAAAGAGGGGTTGGGGATTACCTTCCCTCAGAGATTATTATTTTGCAGCACAGATGGGAGTTGTAATATGCTGGTGTAATCCATTTTACGAGGCTCAATGGAAAAACAAGGAGCAGAAAATATTCTGGATTCCTATACAGGCTGATAGTAATTTACAAGAATATATTAAGGTTGTTGATAATCCATGGGTAAAATGCAATCTTAATGTATGGAAATCTATTATTATAGAATATAAATTAAAAGTAGAAATTATGCCTCTTAAATGGTGTGCATATGATTCTGAGTTTACGCCAAACAGATTAGATACTCGATTTAAGGTCTGGAATGGATAAGGGGATAACAGTTTTATGTAATAATAGAATATAATATATTAACCAGCTTTGAAGCACTTAAAGAGAATTATTCACTAGAAACACAAGACTTCTATAGATACTTACAGATTCGACATTTTGTTAATATGAAGATGAAGAATGTGACTGAGACAAGGACAGGCTTAATAGAATTGTTTAGAAAAGCATATACAGTAAATCAGATTTTCATAGTAGAATTATTTACTTTATTTATTATAGACATATACAAATGTCTGTTAAATCTTAAAACACACACGACTTCTTATATCAAAACAAAATGGGAGAAGGAAGGATAATTAATTATAACAGAGGAGGAATGGGAAATAATATGGAGGTATCAATGGAAATGCTCCAAGGCACAGAAATGGAAGGAGTTTGGTTGGAAAAGCTCGATAAGATATTGTATTACGCCTTCTCAGAAATCACACCATGGTAGTAATTTTCTCTGTAGAGAAAATGCGGAAACCAAAATGCAAATCATTACCACATTTTCTGGGACTGCTCTGTTATTAAGGGCTATTGGAGAGGAATACTGCCCTACAAGATTAGTGGGACTAGATGCCACTCAACCTAATGTTGACACACAGTTCTGTTGACCCTAAAACTTCCTTTCTGCATATAGCTTCTCTGTCAAAGCTTGTCTCACTGGATGAGATTAACAATGTAGCAGATTCCCTTGGAAGGCAAACAGGATGAAGTCCCCAAGGTAAATGTTATCTCTGGGCCCATATTTGTCAGCTAAAAATTATAAAAAGTTGTAAGAGGAAGTTGTTCACTCAGTCAGGTCACTTTAAAAACAAGCTCCTGAGTCACTGGCAGAGCTGTTATTTCGAGGAACTTTGACCAGCATGTGAGACTCTGCTATAAAGCCACATGTGATTCTTTTGTCGTTTTGTTGTTGCTGCACACTGGTAGGAAATCCCAGTTTTCACTATTATGGGGACAATGATCCTGATATAAATGTCATAAAATATGATAAACAGTCTAGATGTGATACATGTGTATGAAAAAAAGCAATGCACTTATGTTATGTTATATAGCCTATCATCTTCACATATACATAGAAACTAATATGTATTTGTTTGTTTTTTTCGGATTTAAAAAAAAATTGAGTTTCCGCCAAAATCAGTATTGTATCTGGTCGGTAATGAAAAGTCAGTTTTTTTTAATTTTACGCAAAATGCGATATCCGCCGAGTTATTCTGTCATGTTTTCTCCCTTTTTTTCCAAACCGCGACAAACGCCAGTCTCCCTTTTCTGCAGAATGCGATATATCCGCTCAACCAATCACAGCGCACCATTCCACGCACTGTAAACAGTAACAACCGATCACAGCGCACCACTGCACGCACTCTAGACAGTAATGGCGGCGCTTTAAATACACCCGGCATCCTAGTTTTCCTCATCTATTTTGTACTTTGTGATCAACAAACAAACAAAAAAATTAGGGCTGCACGATAAATCGCATTTGTTTGTCATGCGCATCTCGTCAGTAAAGCCGGTTCTGTGAACAGTAAATCTCCATCACGTGCTTTCAGATGGAGCGGCATTTAATACACTGCTGAGCCATAGATCACTGCAATATCGCGTTCACAATCGCAGATGAGTCGCATTCGATTATGAACGCGATATTGAGTAGCTTGTCAGCATAAGTGTTTTTATTTATGCCATTTATGTTTTTGTTAATACAGCGTATAGCACTAGTCAACTAAATGAATGTAATATATATATATATATATATATATCCTGTGTATATATATATATATATATATATATATGTGTGTGTGTCTGTGTGTATGTGTGTGTGTGTGTGTGTGTATGTATTTTGTGTGTGTGTATGTATTTTGTGTGTTTCTGTCATTTAATGATGTTTTAGCTCATTGGAGAGAATTACTCAGTTTCTAAGACATCCTGCTTTGCTTTGAGTGTTACATATGGACTCTTTGACTGTATCATCTCTGTCTCCCTCAACGGGATCTCAGCTCAGTGTGGATGAGATGAAGTTACTTGCTAAACTAGAGGAACAGAACAGGTCACTTCTTCACACCCATACCACAGTGTTTCCTAGAAACAACAACTTAAACTAAAAAGTTGCACATTACATTACTGATACATCTCTGTTTCCACACTGTGTGCCCAACTTGTTTTCTATAGGTTTAAGATTAGACAACATAATTTCTTTCTTTCTTTTGCTTTCTTTCTTTCTTTCTTTCTTTCTTTCTTTCTTTCTTTCTTTCTTTCTTTCTTTCTTTCTTTCTTTCTTTCTTTCTTCTTTCTTTCTTTCTTTCTTTTCTTTCTTTCTTTCTTTCTTTCTTTCTTTCTTTCTTTCTTTCTTTCTTTCTATTGGCATCCTGCATCAAACAAACATTTTTATCAGAAGTTTTTTAAATGCTGTGTGTGTGTTTGTATGTGTGTGTGTGTGTGTGTGTATTCACACACATTAATGTTTATCAAACATCTCAAAATAGTGCTTACTAAAAGTATGCTATTTATTTGTCTGTTTATTTATTTGTTTATTTTTTATTGCCATTCAACATGAAACATTATTAGATGCATTTTAAATGCGGATCATGTTGATCATACATCTCAAAACAGAACTTATCAAAAGCATATTTATTTGTTTGTTTTTATTGACATTCAGCATCAAACTTTCTATAAAAAAAAAATTAAAGACTGCATGTATATATCATATATTCAGGTTTATCTTACATCTCAAAATATACTTATCAAAAGTATGCTATTTATTTGTTTGTTTGTTTGTTTATTTGTTTAATTTATTTTATTGACATTTAGCATCAAACCAACATTATTATATATATTACAAATACTTTATGCATTTATCATGCATTTCAAAATAGTACTTATCAAAATAATGCTATTATTTATTTATTAATTAATTCATTCGTTTGTTTAATTTATTTTCATATACTGTACATTCAGAACAAACATTAGATGTATTTCAAATACTGTTTGTATATATTATTACATTTTTTGTATATACAATGTTTTATATAAATTGATACAGCTTAAATACTCACTTCTTTTGGATTATTGTAAAGAATTAAGGTTTTTATAAATGGCAAGGATTAAGTCATTCATCCCTAATAATTAATCACTCAGTTCTATTTGGTGTATGAAATTGAGAAGTACACATCATATCTACATTCCTAAATGGGCTGTTTTCCTCAACAGACTGCTAGAGACTGACAGTAAGTCTCTGTACTCTGTGAATGGGGTCCTGCGAAGTCCCACCTCACCCAAAACCCTCCCTTTTGAGGATGGCTTATGGGGTAATGTCATTAAAGAATGGGACGACTGGCGAAAGAGAAAAGTGGGACAGATCAAGGTAATCAATTTATCAATCCACCAGTTTCATGTCATGATTTCAGTCTCTTCACTCAGTTTGCCTTACCATTCTTCCTTCAGGTGCTGATTAGGAGGGGTGTCCCTGATCACCTGCTGGCCGCTGTGTGGCAGCTGTTGTGTGAGGCTCAGAATGTTGATGTGCGGCAGAAGTACTCAGATCTACTGAAGAGCTCTTCTCCCTCTGAGAAGCTGATACTCAGAGACCTGACACGTATCCTCCCTCAACACCAGCTCTTTCACAACAAGGTCGCTACATGCCAGAAACCACTGTTTAATGTGCTGAAGGTTAGATGACGGAGAATCTCTATCTGTGATCATACAGAAAAAAAAAAAAAGAATTATGCATTATAGGAGTATAGATAACACAATTAGACAGTAAGCCTGCTTTAATTGCAGGCTTACTCAATCTTGATTGGCTACTGTCAGGGAAGTGTGTTTATTGTAGGTCTATTGCTCACACAGGTAATGAATTGCTTTTTTAATTGAAATTATATAGATGATCACCTTTTAGATGGCTGAAGAGGAGGCCTTCTACATTTTTGTGAGGCTAATGAAGGACTTCAGAATGAGGGATCTGTATAGATCTAATATGGTTGAACTCAGCTGCTGCATTAACCAGTTTGACGCTATGATTAAGGTAAACAATTATAATTCTACTCTATTTAAAAACACATGGATTATTTATAAAATGTCCTTTCCAAAAACCCTGAGCTGAGTAAGCCACATAAAGCCTGTTACAAATGATCTGCTGAAGTATCTTTCCATTTCCTGCTAAATGTCAGATTTCTGAGAATTGCACATTTGACAAGAACTTTGTTGTAGATGTCCAGATTTGGTGTTTTGTAAATAGGGGATAGTGGGGTAAAGCTATGTCACTTTTATTTACCGCCATATGTTGTCCTCTGCGCAATGAGAAATGAGATAAAACTTGTCTAAATGATGTCTAATTCATATATTTTATATATAATATAAAAATAATGAATTTTCATTACATGTCATTACTCCAGTCTTCAATGTCACATAATCCTTCTGAAGGATCATTCTAATATTTTGATTTAGTACTAAAAAACATTTTGTATTATTATCAATGTTGAAAACATTTGTGCTGCTTAATATTTTTCTTGAAACTGTGATAACAATTTTTTCATGATTCTTTGATGAACAGAAAATTTAAAGAATGCTCCAGTTACTAACGTAACCTCGGTTCCCTGATATGAGGGTACGAGCGTTGCGTATACACGCTTATGGGGGAAACTCCTGTTTACTCTGATACTGAAGCCTGATTTGTTCACGTTCGTGTACCTGCACAAACAAATGGCGCTTCAACCCACCAAAAGGGGAGGAGCCAACTACTATATAAGTCGGCTCAGAGCGCTATTCTTCAGAATCTTTCGACTGTCAGCGACAGCCATCAACTCGTGTGCAGACTTATAGCATGCCAGCTTACGCAACGCTTGTTCCTTTATCTCAGGGAACCAAGGCTACATTAGTAACCGGAGCATTCCCTTTTGAATGATCTCCTGTTGCGTATACACACTTATGGGGAATGCATCCAATAGTGCCATGCTATAAGTAAATGCAGAACTAAGTCGCTCTGCATGCCCAGCCCTGAAGCGCCCGAAACGAGGGCCCCTAAGAAGCATGAGCAAAGAATGAGCCCCAAGCTAGCCTGCTGGGGACTACATAGCAAAATCTTTTCCACTCAAAGAGGAGATTAGGTGAATTTAAGCAGACAATATCATGCCTGAAGGGCAGGGACATCTAAATTATAAAACCTTGTAAAGGTTGACAGCAACGACCAGCTGGCAGCCGCACAGATGTCATCAATAGAGATCCCACTGGACAACGCCCAGGAGGAGGCCATCCCTCGAGTGGAGTGGGCCCTCACCCCAATAGGGCATTTCAAGCCCTCTGTGGCATAAGCCAGGGCTATAGCATCGACTGTCCAATGAGATAGTCATTGCTTCGCAACATTGCAGCCCTTTAGAATGGCCTCCGAAGCATACAAAAAGCTGCTCTGATTCCCGAAATGGGCCAGAGTGCTCAACGTACACTCTAAGAGCCCTAACTGGGCAGAGTGGATAGGGACCCTGCTTGTCTTCTGTACTAGGAAGAGCTAGAAGGGTAATAACCTGTGCTCTGAGCGGGGTTGAGAGCACCTTAGGCACATAGCCGTGTCTTGGTTTGAGGATGACTTTACAGTTGCTAGGCCCAAACTCAAGGCATGAAGCACAGACCAGATCATTTGAACCAATTGGGGATGTAGTCTCCATTCTCTTGGTGCTACTTTGCCCCTGGACAGCATGTCCGCTCCTTGGTTCAGTCTGTCCGGCACATGAACTGCTCTTAGCGAGAGGAGATAGCGATGTGCCCATAAAAGGAGGCATCACGCCATCCTGTAAAAGGAGCGTGACCTGAGACCACCTTGGTGATTTATGAAGGCTACAACTGTCATGTGGTCCGAGCAAACCAGGCTGGTAGGAAGGCTTTCAGGGCCAGAGAATCCGCCATCATTTCAAGGCAGCTGATGTGCAAGCATTGCTCCAGGTGTAACCAGGAGCCAAATGCCGGTCTGCCCTTGTACAGTGCTTCCCAACCTGTGTTGGCGGCATCTGTCTTGACTACCTTCCTCCTGGAGGTCAGCCCCAACGACGCCTGACTGAAACAGGTGAGAATTGCTCCAAGGGTTCACAGCTTTGATGCAGCGGTGGGTTACCCTGAGACGAAGATGCCCCAGGCACCAAGCGTGGGACAGTACATGGGCTTTGAGCCAAAATTGAAGGGGACACATGCAGAGCAGGCCCAGAGAAATCATAGAGGAGGCGGGCGACATAAGACCGAGCATCCTCTAAAAAACTCAGTCAGTAGGACTTTTCCATTGGCTTTTGGATTACTGCAGAAAATAAGCTTTGTGACCAATTAAAGTTTATGATTATTACATTTTTTTTTTAATCATGATAGTCTTCACAAATGAACACACCTATAATGGATTTTGAAACCTAAATAAATCGGCAGAAGTGAAAAGCTAATGTCACCATCACTAAGCTTTTTCGGTCTTTATTTAAAAAAAAAAAAAAAATCCCTGAGAGGTTGGGTTAGAATAGTTTTCAAATCCATGATTGACTTCAGGACGATGGAACCGGAAGTACTCAAATGCTAACCCTTTTCCAGGTTTTGGCCTACAAAAATAGGTCATCCTTGCAGCAGTTTATTCATAATAAATATTCATGCTGATATTTAGACAAGTTTGGGATTGCTTCAGTAATCAAAAATGTGTGTGTGTCTCTGTTGTAGAGCAGCGCTGTTCCTAATGAGGACAGTGTGATGTATCTGCAGACAGAGCTGATCAGCTGTAGATTGCAGGAAGCAGAGGCACTTACTGAACTCAAAATGCAAAAATAACACATTAAAGACTTCGAGGAGAAATGGCAGGTAACTTTAGATGCGGGGTAGAGAAAAGAAGATATAAAGTGTTCTACATACCGTAAGCAAGGGTTATCAAAACCTCACTGGCTCTCTCCCAGAGGCAGCAGGTGCATTGTGGAGGTCAGCAGAAGGTCAGCAGCGCACAGAATGAACTGCAGGTGGAGCTGTTAAGCACAAGACTGAAGGAAATACTCACTCAAACTGCGCTCAAAGAGAGCCGCCACAGACTGATGAAGCTGCAGACAGAGGTTAAGACCCGCAGCTGATAATATCTGCTGGTTTACATCTTTATGCACTGCAGTATGAGGGACAGAAGAGAAATGAACGCGTAGTTCTGGTCGCTTACTCCTGGAACTGGTTTTAAGTAAAAATTTGACACTTAAATACGCTATAATATTAAGTGCATTTAATATATCATTTATATTTACTGTATATATGATATTATATAAATATATAACAACCTATGACACTCTTGCATTGGCACGCGCCACGGGGATAATCACTGGGACGTGAACAACGAAAGAGTAGCCTAGAAAAAATTTGAGTCTCCAATAAACCAATAAAAGTCTCTCTCTCACTTGCATACAGATCTGCATGTTGAGATAATCCTTCCTCAGAAGCTATAAATACCATTAAAGTGTGGGAATTAAACCGCGCTAGTGGCGCTGCTTGAACAAACCATTGGTGCGCGCACTAAACATCACGAGCCGCTGAGGACACGACGCCGATCAAGGCAGCAGCGCTGTGTGAATCGCGCAATCCGTTTCGCTTCAGTCGTGCTGCGTGATAGAGAGGATGACGGCTCACAATCTTTCTGCTGTAGGCCTATTTGTTGTCTTTATCTTTCCGAAATAAAAGAAAAGAAATTGCCGCAATCAGTCTTTGAGATTTTAATCTTTTGTTAACTTTAAACTTTTTAACTTTAACAGCCAGTAATTCGAAAAAATGCACGCATCCAATCAGACTTATTTATGATACTGACCTTCATTTCATAGGCCTACTTCCGTGATGTTTTCAACATCGGTAGCTCCAGTTTAGACGATCACATGGAGTTTTTGCTTCAAAGTAATGGTGGTCAGAAACAACGGCAGAAATAGGCGCCTATATTTTTAACTGCACTCTAAAATATGCTGGGTTAAATACAACCCAGCCCTGGGTAAAATATGGACAAACTCAGCAGTTCTTTTGACCCAGCGGTTGGCTTAAATGTTTAACCCAACCTTCTGGGTAGTAACCCAAATGCTGGGTCAAAACAACCCAATTCTGGGTTTGTCCATATTTTACCCGACACTGGTTGTATTTAACCCAGCATTTTTTAGAGTGAGGGTCACAGTGGAAATCCTGTTCAAAGTCTAACTTAAATCTGAAAATACACAAATGTTTAGGTTTTTGAACAGTTTAAAACTTTATTGTAAAAAAAAAAAAAAATTATGAAAAAACGAATCAAAAATATTTAAGAATTTCTACCGAATAACCAACTTTGTGATTGATCGTTATGCTGGAATAACATGGACTCTATAATAAGTATCAAATGTGAAATGTGTTCATTAGTCTCCTATTAATTTACTAACGTTTATGAACTTTTATATTGAAATCAATGTTACTTGCCATTTCCATAATTATTATTGAAATGTACTTTATTAGTGAAAATGGTTTCATCGTAAAAGTAAATCTCACACCAATTTTTCCAGTGTGCGTAGGCTATATGCTGGGATTCATTATTCACAATGATTAACTATCTGATCCATGTTATTTAATATTAAATAATATGTAATAATATTTAGTTTACTATACAGTTATTTAAAACTTTTTTCTTTTCATCATAATCATTTATTATAATAATTGCATTTGATTTAGCCTGCATTTCAGTATTTCAGTATTTGTCTTCTTTTCCGACTTTTTGAGGTATAACCCCCTTTTTAACTTTTTGGTAATTATGTTAATCATGTTTTGTTTATTTGCATACATGCATACATATTTCAGTTACCAACTGGAGAATTTGTCACTGTCATTGCATCATGATGAAACATCCTGAGATTTCAAAATTATTCTTATCTCTGATTGGGAAACATTACAAAGATGTCTAGAAATGTCTAGGGGTACGTAAGACATGGCTCCTAAATCAGATTCTGACAAACTGAAGTCACTTACACAGTTGGTACTACAATCAATGCTAAACTATGTCCTGACATGGGGTTGCTAAATGTGACTTAATTCAGTCCTCTTATTTTAATGGTTCGCTTCTCACTACAGAACAAACTTCACAGTAACCAGCTAAATCGAATTGAAGCGCTCATAAACAGCCAGGAAGATCATCTACAGGAGCTGACATCACAGAACCAAGATCTGTGCAGCCAATTACAACAGAGCAGACAGCAGTTTTCAACTGTTCAATACAAGGTAACACCACACCTGACATCATCTGCTATTTGACAGTCTGGAGGTGTCTAATTACAGTGTCATTTAACCTCGCTGACTTCCTTCAGGCTATATTAATCCTGGTCTGGACCAAGAGCATCATTAAATTTCTCTCACTCACCCCAACTCTGTGTTAAGGGAATATTTTAGGTAGAGCACAAGTTAAGTTCAGTCGACAGAATGTGTGTCATGAAACCATAAAAAGTGATTCCCAATTTTCTACACGTTTCTTCAAGAAAAAAAGCAAAATCTGGGTTACAGTGAGGCACTTGTGGAAGTAAATAAGCCAATTCATACATGTTAAAATACTAATACAGTGTTTCAGTAGTAGAGCCACAAGACGTAACAATATGAGCATTAACATGATTCATGGTGTGAAAAAAAATGCTAAATAACATTGTTATATTAAAATTTTAAGTTATATTAATTTTTTTCAAAAGTTATATTCAATTTGAAAACTTTGTGACCATGACAACACAATGCCACAAACACTAAAATGACTACAAATATGATTTAAACAGCTTTAGTCAAATAATACACACGTTTTAACAGAAGAATTAATGTAAATGCTTTTATGAAATTTTAAGCTACACATTTCTGCTTTTAAAACCTCAAAATATTTGCCTCATTTATTTCTATTTGAAGTAATCATTCTTTTTGTGTGTGATTTTTGTGATAATTAATATTATGCCAAAAATGCTGTCAACTGAGCTTAATAGCAACCCGGACTATTCCTTTAACTCATTTTCTGACTGACAGTCACTGACAGAGGAGATGAAAGCACCTCACAATACACAAGCCTTTTCCATGAGCACTAATCACAGCCCAAAAACAAAAACACAGTTCATTTGTAAAGCTCAGATCAGCGACTATTCCATTTATTCATCACACATGACTTAGTGCAAGAGTGGCCTCTCTGTTGATCACTCAAACAGCTTTGAGGGAACCGGTATCTTCTGCTTTTCTAGAAGCAGATCTATGATAACATCTTTCTCACTCTGCTGGCCAAATCTTCAGATGCTGGCGTAGTTCACACACTCAGACCAGGCCTCCACATTGCACTTGTCTATCAAGCTCTTTTATGCAGAAGTGATTTTGCAAGAAAATTCTAACACTGTATCTCACTTTACCGTGGCATAAAACAGATGACTGCTTGCATTAAAGTACTGTGAAAGAGTTCTCCATTGGATGGGCTAGTCTGGTGTGATGGTGGTAGACGAAAAGATTCTGATGAGTATAAGTCTGATTTCAAAACACTGAATGTTACTTTACCGCTCATATTGTGCTTCAGTGAATTTAAGAGGTGTTTACCTTTTCCCAAGTGAAAAGAAAAGCTGGACAAAGAAGCAGCGAACATGACCAGCATTGCAGTTCTTCAAAAGCAGATCACAGAGTTACAAATTCAAGTATGTTTGACCTTTTTCATTTCATGTCACATCAGTTTCTCTTTATGCACTTAAATAGGCCCAGCAGTGTTACTATCCATAGCTTCACAGACTGAATGCCAGTTTTGCTCATGAGTGATTGGACAATCAGCTATGGTCAGTGCCGGTGCTACCTATAGGCAGAGCAGGCAATTGCCTAGGGCCTCGGGCTTTGAGATGGGGCCTCCATAACCATAACATCCCCTATATGCTAGTCCACCAGTCAAGACAGGCAGCGAAATAATAGCCTCATTGTTAATATACAGTAGTTTAATTGTCACGTACCTGCATATGATTTGTGTATATAGTGCATATTTAAGGTAACAATGCAATACATAATATCATATTATTAATATTATAATAATATGACAATATCTATAGTCAATATTGATTAAATGGGAGGGGGAAATCCTGCCCATACCCAGCTAGGAACTGTGAATAAATTACTGAACAAATTTCTGCAAATAATAATAATAATCATAATATCAGGCAATAATAACATCCTTACAAACAAAAAAAGAGATTACCTTAGATCAGTGTTTCTCAACCCTGGTCCTGGGCGCCCCCCAGCACTGCACATTTTGTGTGTCTCCCTAATCAAACACACCTGATTCACCTCATTATCTCAATAAAATAAACTCCAGGACCTGAAATGGGTGTCAGATAAGGGAGACATACAAAATGTGCAGTGTTGGGGGGCGCTCAGGACCAGGGTTGAGAAACACTGCCTTAGATAAAATTTGATAAAAATGTACATACAGTACCGATCAAAATTTTGGACACTTACTATTTTTAATGTTTTTGAAAGAAGTCTCTTATGCTCATCAAGCCAGCATTTATTTGATCAAAAATATGAAGAAAAAAAAACACAAATAGTATCTAACACTGATAATAAATCAGCATATTAGAATGATTTCTGAAGGATCATGTGACACTGAAGACTGGAATAAGTACAAATATCTTTATGAATTGTCTTTATGAACTGTTTGAAGCATCAACGTTTGGAAGAAATTGACTTTCAGTGGAGGGACAGAAATCTCTCTGGTTTCATTAGAAATCCTTATTTGTGTTTTTTCAAAGATGAATATCAGGTTTACATGAGGATGAATAATTAATGACAGAATTTTTTCAGTATTGTGACATACATCTGAGTGTCCACACCAAAGATGATAACTAAAATGATAACTATAACTATAAAGTTTTAATAATCCTTCTAATTCTATGAGAATAAGTCCAACACAGAGGAACGATATCGTCTGAATCACTTTTAGAATTTTTTTTCCCAGCTGATAAATAATAAAAACATTGACACCCAGTCAGAATCTACTCGACTTTAAAGAGCGAGAGAATGTAAAACAGTGGACAAGAGAACCTTATAAAAACATCTGTTGGGCTGGACGATAATATAGTTATCATAATAGTTATCTTTCTAGTTATCATTCTTGGCATGAATGAGCCTAAACATATCCATAAAAAAAACAATGAGGATGGTTCTTTCCATTGGAGTCATAACAAAAAAAAAAAAAGTAAACACATATTTTTTATATTCAGTTGTTTTACCTGTACAAAAACAGTCTATTATGCTGCATGATATTGCAAACTGGTATTTGTTATGATATTACTTTAATTTATTATCATAATCATAAACACATTGGTTTGTAATGCTAAATTTTACAGTTTCCTGCACTTTGTTATTCTTCTAGCTATTTGCCTATAGTTCTTAATGAAGTGAAAGCCTCGCACATTCACAGAAAATAGCTTATTTCAAATGCAGTTACAAAATAGACAGGGTGAATTTTAATTTCATGCTGACTTTAAGCAAGGAAATTAAACTGCAACTTATTCTGAGATGTAAAGATTTTCTACATTTTGATTGTCACTTGCTAGCCACATGTTTTACACATCTTGTCAAGCCGAGGTGGTGCACCCAGACAAATAAATCTTCCAGTAAGACCGCAGATTACAATTGGACTCTGTGTCACTGTGTCAGAAGCTACATAGTGATGCTAACACATGTATGAGCATGCTAACGCTAAGTACTGCAGCACAACAAGGCACAGAGGAACCAAAATGAAACTTCTGACTCGAAATTAAATTAGTCAAATACACGTGTCACAATAAGCCATCAGAGCCATGAACATGCACGCATGCTGTGGAGGCAAACTTTTCCTTATTGAGAGAACATTTTCTCAAATAGCCACACAATGGCTAGGAAACTCTTAGCACCTCTCAACACTTCTGCCTCCATGTGATTTGTAGCACCCCACTGTTCAGTAGATTTACAACCAGAAACCCCAGCTTGGTACACCGGCAGGTTCACGATGAGCATAGCTATTTACAAAGATAACGGAAGACCTCCTTCCATTGTAACCGGTTAACCGTGCCGCCTGGTTCATTATTGTCTTGCCACATAGCATTGTCAAAAAGGTGCTAGTGAGATAAACTGCTGTTCACATGGTACAACAAGAAGAGAATAAAGCCATGTTACAAGCAATCAGTCTGCAGCTATCATGGATGAATCATCAGTTTTGGCATTTTTAGTTTGTGATTTCACAGACAGTAAAAAAATCCATTTGTTAGTATTAATACGCAGATTTTTAACCCTTATTATGACGTAAAAAAAAAACTGCAGCCTTTTTTTTTTCACATTCTTGGCTAGTTTTCATCCAGTTTTGACCCAGCAAAATAAAATACTTAAACTATAGCAAAACCAGTGTGACACAAGAAAAACATTTTTTATCAGTATTTATGAGAACTTTTATTGGAATATATTGTTTTTAAAATTTCTTTTAAATGTATAACAACATATAAAATTTTAAAAATTCTAATAAAACATCAATATTACTCTAGAATGTTTTTAAATAAAATATATTAATTTTACTCGAATAAACACCTTTTCAAATTTAGACTACTTGGCATTAAATCTTTTGCCCTACAACACTTTGGTCTGGAGTTCATTTGATATATTTTATTTGCTATGTTACTTGCATTTATTGTCTGTTTATAGCGTTTTCATGTTTAGCAATAAAAATTCAGTCCTAAAAGTGGAAAATGGAAAAAAATATATTTATTATATTCTATTATTTTTATATTTTCTATATACAGTATATAAAAAAGAAAATATTAAAATATTAAATATTCTTAATAAAAATGACATATTTTTATATGGCTTTATCACTTAAAAACACTTGTTTAAAATTTGGTTCCCATACTAAAAACTTAAAATTTGTAATTTTTAAAAAAATGTTTTTAATTACTTCTGGGTCAGAAATTACCGAAATGCATTATATAAGTTAAGGCTCAGAGTAATTTGTGACACAACACACATACACATTTTTGGACATCTTTTAAAACCAATAAGTTATATAATACCAAGATGGATATTTTTTCTCCAATAATATGAAGAAGTTTGATTTTACAGAGAGAAGCTTTCCTGTAGTTTTGATTCTGGTGCATAAATTTTCCTACTCGTCCCTATCTGTAGCGAGCAGAAACACTGCCAGTGGTTTGAGGTCTGGTGAGAAACTGCCACTATCAGATAACCTGTAGGTGTGAGCGCCCCTAAACACCTGAAGATTTTTTTGTGGTTTCGGTGACAAGGTGAGCCAGTCTGATTAAATTAGATGGATACTTATTTCTCATAATCTGGTTCGTTACTGATAGCATTGTGTTTAGCTTATAAATGTTGTAGTCAAAACTCTTTGGGAGATTGTTTTAGAGTTCTGTGCTAGAAGATCTCGTATCAGTCTGTATTGACGAGAAATATAATGCTGTTGTGTTTTAAACAACAATAAGAATGTATGCATTCTCAACGTTAATTCCCACATGCGTGGTTTTGAATTGAGAGATGTGTGTGGCTATAATCAATGTCTCCTTTTTAAAAGAGCTGCTAAGCCATGCGCCATCTCTGATTGCTCTTTGGTTGAGCTGTAGTCTCAAATTTAGAAATAACATTGTGGTCGTGAAAGCTTGTATACGTCTCATTCTTTCTTCTCATAACTACCAGACAAAGTGAACACTCTGAAACCTCAAACCATTATCACGGCTACTTTATGCAGCTATTTCAATCACGTACTCCCTAAAGAGATGCAGAAAGGCTCTGCCCTAGAAGAAAGCAGAGAAAGAAAAATAGACATCAGTGTTTCAGAAGTATTGACCTATTGCTGCATTCATAGTGTCTGTTCAAGTCTGTCTTTGGTTTCCTGTTCTTGATGTGAGGATGAGGTTTGTCACGTTTACACTCTGTGCTGCACTGTGAGAGATTACTTGTACTTTGAATTGCTTCACATTTGCTCTTTATACTGCTATTAGCTTTAATCTAAAAGGACTGAAGACAGGACAAATGAGTTGAACTTTCATCATAAGATCAATTCTTACTAGACCACATGTTTAAATCTATTTGAAAATACATTTTAATACATAATTAATATGAATTCATTTTAATTTAAAAATATAATTTAAATAAATTAATAGAAAATAAATAAATACATAAATAAAATTAAAATACAGTTAAAAAATGAAAGCAAATCAATATTTTTTAAAATACATTTGAATTAGAATGATTAGTCATCCCATTATTATTAATGTTATTCATTAAAAAACAAAACACTTACTATAGTACTATATATTCAATAAAACCGATCTCTGAGACAGTGAATACAAATATCTGACTCTACAGGTCACTTTGGTATCTGCAAAGACACCCTAAATCTATTACTAGGCCTACAACAGAATATTGAGAATTAATAGACCTATCAAAGGCAAGATAATAGATAAAGAAACATGCACTATGTTGATTTGTTTTTTTTTGCCTAAATATGTGAGACATATTTTTCACTTTCTGTGGCAATTGTGTTTAATTGTGGTTAATACTGCACATGCATGTCAGTGTAGAAACATAGTGTTGTGTGCCTTAAAATGATTTTTCACCTAAAAAATGAAAATTCTGTCATAATTTAGTCTTCCTCATTTAATTCCAAACCTGTATGACTTTTTACTTCTGTGCAACACAAAAGAAAATATTTTGTGTTCTGCAGAAGAAAGAAAGTCATACAGGTTAAAATGGGGGCAAAAACAAAAGTGTTGCGTTTATAATTTTGTTCAGTGTATATGAGGGTAAGTAAATGATGACAGCTATTTCAGTTTTGGGTGGACTACTATCCCTTTAAAGTTTACATGTTAATATAATCAGCCCTTAATTGTTAGGTTCTGTTTAACGTTTTCAAACAATATGATTATGCAGTCTTTGATTGATCTAATTCTTTACAGATTCAGAGCCTCTCCAAACATACTACGCAACCCGCACTGAGGCCTTCCACATCCGCCTCTCTGAAGTACAATGACACCTAAAAATGGACAGCTGCCCTAACGTCCCATCATCCTGTCTCCAGAAGCACGCCATCCGGTGAGACACTAAAGATGTTCTATAAAGAGCACTACCCACAGCTGCAGTGTCTACTATGAGAGAGTCTTCACAGTCCCAGCTGTTAAACATGCTGCAACACTTTAAGTGTCATGAGCAGAGACACACTGTGACAGTTTTGCCATTAACACTTGAAAGTGACAGCAAGATTTCTCATTCTTACAAAAAAAAAAGAAAAGAAAAAGGGATGTTAAAGGGGTCATATGATGCGATTTAAATTGTTCCTAGCTGGCCAATCAGAGCACACCTCGCTTTTTCAGACCGATGAGCTTTGTAAAAATCGACGTGTTTCAAAAAGGCGGGGCATAGAGGAGAAACATTAATGCACAGTATGTGGAAAATAATGTGTTTTTTTAACTTTAAACTGCATAAACACATTTCATTACACCAAATACACAAAATAATGTTCTTTTTAGCAGCATCATATGACCTCTTTAAATGTCTTAGATCTAACATTCAAGTAAACATCACACAGCACTTGTTAGTACTGTCACACTGTAAAAGAAGTTTTAGTTATGGTCAGCCATAAATATCTTATTACTGGATGCCGACTAATTTTGAACAACAGTGATTTCAGCCAAATTAATCTATTTGAACCAGTGTCACTCGAGTTTAGAGTGTTTAAGCCAGCAGGTTTTCTCTCTGCTGTTTCAAATGTATTAAAATGTTCAAAACTTTGTTTATATTAATGTCAGTAAATAAATTAATAGTCAGTAAACCACACATACATATAATTCACTATTATGGAAATATCAGTTAATTTTTTAAAATAATTTTCACACTGTGTATGGTCAGTGTTGTAGTGATAACATCATAGGTAATTTATATATATTCTCTTATATATTCTAAGAAGTAATAATACAAAATTCTTTAATAATTGAATCTGGTTTTTCTTATTTTTTCTTTATTTTCTTATATTTTCTTTATATGTAGGCTATAAAACTCCATCTTTATGTCTTAAACCTACAAATATAAATGAAAAATGTATTTTAATTCTAAATTGAAAACACGTTCATCATAGAAGAGGTGTATTCAAGTCATTGTATGAATGGATTGCATTTTGATGTATTTCTGAAAATACAATAACACCCAGCGTTGGCTGAATGCTATTCCTGGAAGAATAATTGCAGAAAACCACACCTGGGGCAAATATAAAATCGTCCCACATAGACAAGCCAAAAATCCTAATGTGATTTAGATCACAATGGGCGTCTACAGTAATCAGACTACATCATAGCATGCAGTTCATAAAACAATCATTTAGCCTATGTTCTCTTTCATCTGGCATTCAAATGCATGGGGTTAAGTCGCCGCAGGCACTTACGAAAATTGGGTGAAATGTTTGTGAGACACGATCGCGTTCAGGAAGTTAAAATTGTGTATTTAAGGCGCGTGTTTGCACGGCTGTAGCTTGACACGGAGGCAGGTCGCGCGCAGCAGTCATTGTAGAGGAGCACAACAGCGCAGCGCAACAGGTGAGTCCCGTCCTGACTCAGGACAATCAGTTTAGACCGACAGCATGCAGCAGATTTTAATCTCGATGGATCCCTTATTTCTCTTGCCTCGATTTCTAATGGTATTTTCATTCGAATAGAAGTCAGGTGTCATAACTTAAAGAAATATTCGCTTTGGATAAAGTTTCAGTTATCTTGACGCATTGACCGAGGTACGTTTGAAGAAATCTTCGTTTCTGCACATACTTTTCTAGGTAATTGTAACTTTATGGAGAAACGTTAAGAGATACTGTAGCCTAATAGTAGTCACACACTATGAGTGTGCACAGCCGGTGCGCCAAAGTTTTTCCCATTCATAATTTGACGTCTAGAACCTTAGTTCAGCATTATTGAAGCTGTCAGGCCAGTTTATACAACCTCTGCGTTGGTCTATCAATGTTGTTAAAGTTTGATTCAGCTGCAGACAGAACATTAAGTTGCCTAATGCATGAGTTTTCAAACTGGGGTCCGGGGACCCCCATGGGACCGCAACGGGGTGCTAGGGGATCTGGGGAAAATGTCAGATTGAAAGAAAATGTAAAATAAAATAGAAAATGGAAATTAAATAAAATGGGAAAGGTAACATTTTATTAAAATGTAACAATATAATGATTTCATTCTGCTTTCTAAAGACTAATCTGAAATAATGAGATGAACCACTAGCCTATTTGATTCTATTAGGCTTAGTTTTAACTGTAAGGAATAAAAAGCATACATAGCCTATTTTGTGAAGCATACACTTGTTATTTATAATCTTTTATTTTATTTTTACTTGATTATTTACAATAATTAGTAATAGTTACTTCCCTTTTCATGTGCATACACTCTAAAAAATGCTGGGTTAAATATAACCCAGCGCTGGGTTAAAAAGGGACAAACCCAGCTGTTGGGTTGTTTTGACCCAGCTATTGGGTTGTTTGACCCAGCGGTTGGGTTGTTTTGAACTCAACCGCTGGGTCAAAACAACCCAATAGCTGGGTTTGTCCCTTTTTAACCCAGCGCTGGGTTATATTTAACCCAGCATTTTTTAGAGTGTACGTTAAAGATTAGTTGGTATGTACTGCATCATATTCTCGTCGTCGCTATCTCCTTTATCTTGCTCATAGCTTTCAAGGAAAAACTGCTTTGAAGCAACATTTTGATTAAAAAAGTGATGCTATAGCCTACAAATACTTAAATAATTAAAAATGTTTCCTCTTAGGTTTATACAGAAAGTCAACAGAAAAAGATACATTATGAACTAGCCTACAACGTAAATATTTTCCAGATAGTATTATAATCATTTCTTTTGGCTTTAGTAGCTACAATTACAATACAAAAGCCAATTATTTAATTTTGAATGTAACATGTATAATATGTCTGTATGCATGAAAATATATAGCTCATGGATGTTGAACAATTGTCCCAATGAATTGTCAATGAATTGTCGTTTTATATAAATATTTGTCGTTTTTCCAACAGAATTGTATATAAATGTACAGAAAACATTCTATATACTACTTAAGTTTTCTATTTACTATGTTAGCCCATAAACCGAATAAGTATGCCATTGTGCGTGAGACAGAAATAGAGATGCTATTCATAATTCTAACCTGTTCAATAGGCTATATAATAACATTGTCTTATTTAATAACAACATTATTATTAGGGAAATAAATATACAGTGTAAAATGCTTTTTGGAACTGTTTATGCCCTACTTGAATTTGATGTTCCTTAGGTCTCGACATCAGGTTATTAACGACTAAAACAAAACCAATTAGTTATTGGCAATAATACCCTGGGCTCCATTTGCAGGCCGTTACTTGGAAGTGACGTGAGGTTGGTATATCACGCTGACAGAGGATCAGTTTACTAAACAAGGCTTTGAGATCAAGTTGCCAAGGGGGAGCCTAATAACGAAGTGTGACGTGGAGTGCCTCGACTTCAAATCGTTTTTGGTTTATTTGGGAGGTTTTGATTCTAAATGCTGCATGGTAGAGATTTGACAGACCTGCCTTATTCAGTTCTGTGAAGATCAGGTGCATTTTTTCACACCGGTGCTCTTTATCTAAATCAATTTAGCACCATTTTTAGGCAGGATTGGAGAGCCGTGAGTGATTGGTGACCCTGAACCTGATAACGGAGAGTAAACATGCCGAGGTCATTTTTGGTGAAGAGCAAACGGGCGCACAGTTATCACCAACCCCGTTACCTGGACGACAACTGCATCCCAATTGAGAAACTTCTTACATGCCAAGGTACGAACTATAGGTCAGTATTGATCAGGCAATGAAAAGCGGTAATTAAAATAGCGATGGTTAATGCATTGTGAATTTTATTGGGTTTAGAAAGTCAAATGGGGCAGATCCCCGAGAGCCCGGTGGAGGTGGGCAATCATTCCCCTAAGGCCAGCATGGTGTGCACGGCGGATCATTCTTCTCAACAGTCCCCGCTGAGCTGCGAGGGCAGTGTGTGTGACCGCTCATCCGACTATGAGGACTTCTGGAGACCCCTGTCATCGGGAACCTCTCCAGGTTGGCATGCTCCCACACACACACACACACACACACACAAAATAAAAACTTACAAAAGTGTCACTATGGCGGTACCCTTTCAAAACAAGTATGTACACTTTAGATACTATGCACTTTAAAAATAGACTACTAATGTGTAGGTTACCTTTAACCCTTTAAACCCGAGGTGTCCTGCCTGCGTCCCGCCAAACGAAAAAATTCATAATCAAATTACTAAGCAACCCCTGAATGGAATAACACAAATAGGTATCTCAGCTTTTTAATGAATGTAATTATTTTGATCAACTCTTAACGAGCGCTGAGCTGTCCCTCTAAACACGAGTGATCCGCGGGCGGGACGCCCCCCCTCCCCGAAAATATTACTAATCATATTTTTTCAAACCACTGCCTTGATTAGAGTCTGAGCTTTACAATGCATGTTGCCGCTTTGATTAACTCCAAAGAAGTGCCAAGTTATTTGCTGATAAATGACAAAAAAAATATCATAATTTGCAAAATATGTTTTTTGTGCCATTTACTCTAATATGTCAAAAACATCATACAGCTCAGATAGTCATGTGTCATCTCATCATCTCAGGTCTCATCGAGTAGAATAAAACAAAGCATAATTGTTTGGGACTTTGAATAAACTGGAGCAAGTTTTTATACAAGAAGTCACCCCCAGACACATATGAAAATAATATATTGATGTCACCATTTTGCTTGTAACTTCATAAAACATGCTCAGATCATGGAAAAATACACACTTTTTTAGAGCAGATTCTCCTGATTAAAAAGAGCCCAAAATCCCTATAATCCGTCATTTATATCTAAAGATATTCCTCAAGAATTTATAACACGCATAAAACTGCACAGGCGGCATATAGCTTAGCAAAAATATCTAAGGTAGCTGTCATGTAGCGTTTTCGCTCGTAACTTCATAAAACATACATATATCAAATGGCACGTTATTATTTGCAGAAAATTCTCCCGATTAAAAAGAGCCCAAATTCACCATAATCCATCGTTCAGATCTAAAGATGTCACTCATAGAGCTAACACATAAAACAGAATTAGGACATGTAGCTTAGCAAAAAAATCAGAGGTTGCAGTCCTGTGCCGTTTTCGCTCATAACTTCACGAAACATGCAGATCTTGAAGTACTGAAAAACCACACAGAATTATTTTCAGAAAATTCTCCCGGTTAAAAAGAGCCAAAATTTACCATTATCCGTCGATCAGATCGAAAGATTTCTTTCATAGAGCTGTAACACATGAAACCAGACAGGTTAGCTTGAGGCACAGCAGAATAAATAACTGTACTTTCACTTTGCGCTTTTATTTGTAACTTCATGAAACATGCATAGATCATGGAAAATCGTACGTAATTATTTTCAGAAAATTCTCCCGATTAAAAGGAGCCCAAACTCATCATACTTTGTTCATTAGATCTAAAGATATTCCTTATGATGTTATCACACACATTAAACCATTAAATTAAGAAAAATATAGCTTACGTTTTCATTCATAACTTATAACAAACATAAATAGATCATTGAAAATGGCACAAAACTCACAAAAACTGATTAAAATGAGCCCAATCATACCATAATCTGTCATTTAGATCTAAAGATATTCGTCATGGAGTTATAACACATAATGTCAAAAACATCATACAGCTCAGATAGTCATGTGTCATCTCATCATCTCAGGTCTCATCGAGTAGAATAAAACAAAGCATAATTGTTTGGGACTTTGAATAAACTGGAGCAAGTTTTTATACAAGAAGTCACCCCCAGACACATATGAAAATAATATATTGATGTCACCATTTTGCTTGTAACTTCATAAAACATGCTCAGATCATGGAAAAATACACACTTTTTTAGAGCAGATTCTCCTGATTAAAAAGAGCCCAAAATCCCTATAATCCGTCATTTATATCTAAAGATATTCCTCAAGAATTTATAACACGCATAAAACTGCACAGGCGGCATATAGCTTAGCAAAAATATCTAAGGTAGCTGTCATGTAGCGTTTTCGCTCGTAACTTCATAAAACATACATATATCAAATGGCACGTTATTATTTGCAGAAAATTCTCCCGATTAAAAAGAGCCCAAATTCACCATAATCCATCGTTCAGATCTAAAGATGTCACTCATAGAGCTAACACATAAAACAGAATTAGGACATGTAGCTTAGCAAAAAAATCAGAGGTTGCAGTCCTGTGCCGTTTTCGCTCATAACTTCACGAAACATGCAGATCTTGAAGTACTGAAAAACCACACAGAATTATTTTCAGAAAATTCTCCCGGTTAAAAAGAGCCAAAATTTACCATTATCCGTCGATCAGATCGAAAGATTTCTTTCATAGAGCTGTAACACATGAAACCAGACAGGTTAGCTTGAGGCACAGCAGAATAAATAACTGTACTTTCACTTTGCGCTTTTATTTGTAACTTCATGAAACATGCATAGATCATGGAAAATCGTACGTAATTATTTTCAGAAAATTCTCCCGATTAAAAGGAGCCCAAACTCATCATACTTTGTTCATTAGATCTAAAGATATTCCTTATGATGTTATCACACACATTAAACCATTAAATTAAGAAAAATATAGCTTACGTTTTCATTCATAACTTATAACAAACATAAATAGATCATTGAAAATGGCACAAAACTCACAAAAACTGATTAAAATGAGCCCAATCATACCATAATCTGTCATTTAGATCTAAAGATATTCGTCATGGAGTTATAACACATAAAACCCCAAATGCACACATGGTGTAACTTTCTCATGGTTTTTTACACTTGGCAAGCAGAATGTAAAACCTAGAATATTTCTGTGTATTTGATCTTTTATATAACTTTTTTTGAATAATTAGGTATCATTTTAAAGCTTAGAAATAGGGGTTGTGCGCAACAGACTTCCGTATTCTGTTAACCGGGTCTCGTCGCTTCCGGTTCAAGCGTTTTGCATATGCTTAGTTAAATATGAAGCAGTTTTACTCAAGATACCTTCAAAGTAGATACCAATGATGATCATAACCAATGTCCATCACATATGCGGACTGAAATCTAAAACATTTCACATTTAGATATAAAAATTGAATAAAACGTCAACAATAAAAACAGCTAGCTAGTTTAACTGATTATCTTAAAAGTCCATAGATATCGCTATTATTTCATATGGCTGTTAACACATTCTCCGACAAGCAGAAGCAATGAGACCTGTTTTCCGGGTTTGGTCAGGTGATGTTCGACATATACCCTATTCAGCTTTCGAATGCATCCAACCATTTTGATTAACTCCTAAACAGTGCTGCCTAGTTCCTCTAAACCGGAGTGTACCGCCGGCGGGCGCCCCCTAGCGAAGAAAATAATAAGCATATTTTTCTAAATCACTGCATTGATCAACACAAAATAGGTGTCATTTGAAAGCTTGGAGTCTGACCTTTACAATGCATGTAGCCACTTTGATTAACTCATAAGTAGTGCTGAGTTATTTGCGGATAAATAGAAAGAAATGTTTTCATAATTTATGAAAATCTTTTTTTTGTGCCATGTACTGTGTCAGAAACATCATACAGCTCAGATAGTCATGTGTCATATGTAATTTGAAAGGTCTCATCGAGTAGAATAAAACATAATTGTTTGGGGCTTTGACTAAGCTTGAGTGAGGCATTGCTTCAAATTCAAAACAACAATTTCAAAACTGTAAAGGGCTAAGAGAAAGGCTACCTTGGTTCCAAATGCTGCAACTTTTGATTACTTCATGATATCACCACAAAATTTAATTCACATACAGCACACGTTGGGAAACATCACCAAAAAAGAATTTTTCTCCTACCTTATTTTTTTTCATGAGATATTGAGCGTCAAATAAGAATGATATGAAAAATTTCCCTTGACCACACTAATTTTTCTTACATTTTATCACCTATTTCTCAACATGAGAATACACGAGAGGCAGCGATCGTGACCATCACCCGGCGCCAGGTAACGACCGCACCCAGAAACACACAGATGGTACGACATCTTTAAAAAGACGCGTCTTTAAAAAGACGTTCCACCCGTGAAGCTCTTTTAGATGGAAATTGCTCTTTTAGTGTGCTGAAGTGCACAGGGGAGATGGCCGTCTGCAACACACACAGGGGTAGTGCAGCCTGCTGTGTGCAACCCACTCGACACGGGAAAACCACCGCCGCTGAAGCGCCGTACCACCAGCACGAGAGCCCACGAAGAGCGTGCTTGACTGTAGTTTTTACTTCTCTACGTAGAAGGTCAGGAGCAGAACAATAGAACCGCTCGGCTCCGAAGACCTGAATATGCGCTGCATCTGCTGCCTACTTATACTCACGCTGTGATCAGCAGCAACTGGATGCAATAATCGCATGCCAATGTGCATTGGCTCGTTTAGTTTACACTCGAAGTAGATTGGTCTCTCTAAGCGAGATCCCAATTCGTCGGTCATCCGACGTGACGTCGGGAGTGACCGACTGAAAGGGAACCATGGTTACATAAGTAACCTGAGACGTTTTTTTTCTACAGGTTATCTTAAGGGTTCTTCCATTGTAACTTAACGCACATTCAAATATGATTTTCAAGAAAAAAAACTAAAACCTGGGGAAAATAAATGCAGAACATGTTCACATAGGACACTATTAACATGACGATATGCATAAAACCATTCAGAAAAATTTGGGCACAAATGGGTTAAAGAAGAAACCAATCCAATGTATAGTTGACATTTGAGGCTTAATACTATAGAAAAGCAATAAAAGTTTTTCAGTTTGAGTTTTTCCAGCTTGTTTAATTTCATATAAAAATATGGCATGCAGTTGCTTCAAACAATGGTATAAACATAATTCAATGTAAATTGTGATAATCGTAATTAATAATCGCAATTACAATTTTAAGGGAATAATCAACAATTATGTTTTTTCTCATAATCGGGCAGCCCTACTTTAAAGTACTAATAACATACGTACCTTTTAGGCACTAAAATGTAGGCTATTTAGGGGTAAATAAGGCGTAGCCTACCTTTTACCTTAGGGTACCGACACAGTGACAGCTTTGTAACTTTTTTTTGGGGGGGTAGTTGGAGTGTACCAATTTTACAGTGATGAAAACATTTGTGCACAATGCTCATTACGGTTTCCTTTTAAAACATCTATCTCTAGATCTGGATAAATACCCTGTGTCTTCTCCAGATGACTCTCAGCCCTTCAACATGACTTTCCGTCCGTATGTTTGGGCCCATTCAACATCTGAACTCAGGCATCTCATTCAATCCTGCAACCGTGTTTCTGTGGATTCAGAGGCATCAGTGGAGGTGTATGATGCCATGGACAGAAGGCCGGGTGCCCATCTACTCATTGAACCAACACAATCTGGGCGATTTTACCAGGACTATGGCTCTCTGACCTCTAATTTGTTGGATAGTAGAGGCTTTTATGCCGACATCAAGATGTCAACTAAAGTAGCAGAAATTGACTCAGAGTCTGATATTATGTGCACGCAACTTCAGCTAAGCGGGTCATACAAATGCGTAAAATGCACTAAGGTATTAACATTTCTATAATTTACCTACTTCTAAAAATATATTTCTATATTTCTATCAGCTGCTTGTCCTTAACTATCCACTCCAAATTATCTATTAAAATTAAAAGAATTAAAAGTAATAGTTCAAACAAATAAAACCTTAGTTTTAAGAAATTCATAAAGGCATAATTTGTATTTATCTAGAAAATGAATTCCCAGTATTTAAGCATAGCCAGGCCCATTCACACCAAGAATGATAACTATATCGTCCACAACAAGGCACCATAACGTTCTGTTTATTATAAGCGCACGCTGCAGTTATGCCATATCTGCCGAAATCAAATCAGAGATTTATATTTCTTCTTCTTAACACTTCCACTAAACCCTTCTAAAGATGCTTTTGTTTTCAAACAGGTGTTTTCGACCCCTCATGGGCTAGAAGTTCATGTGCGGCGGTCACACAGTGGCACGAGGCCCTTCGCGTGCGAAATCTGTGGAAAAACGTTCGGCCACGTCGTCAGCCTGGAGCAACATAAAGCTGTCCATTCACAAGTAGGGCCTCAATTATTGAATAATTCAGCCAGACTTATAAGACTAGACTAGCTTGCTAATCACATTTTTCCGGCAGGAAAGGGTCTTCAGCTGCAAAATCTGCGACAAAAGCTTCAAGAGGTCGTCCACTTTGTCCACGCACCTCCTCATCCACTCTGACACCAGACCGTATCCCTGTCAGTACTGTGGCAAACGATTCCACCAGAAATCAGATATGAAAAAACACACGTTCATTCATACAGGTGATTTATATTTTGATGAAAATAATGAGAATATGTTTTTCTGCAAATTATTGTTTGTGCAGTTCAGTAACTAGATTAATACAGAATTTGTCCATGTCAAAGTTTTGCTGAGACTTTTTTACAGAGAGATATTTTACAGGTGAAAAGCCCCACAAGTGTCAAGTGTGTGGCAAAGCCTTCAGTCAGAGTTCAAACCTCATCACGCACAGCAGAAAACACACAGGATTCAAGCCTTTCGGATGTGAACTTTGTGGCAAAGGCTTTCAGCGCAAAGTAGATCTGAGGAGACACAAAGAGACACAGCATGGACTAAAATAATAAAACTTAAATATTTTTGTCTTACGACTGTTTGTTTGCATATGTGACACTTTGTAGAATTAGAAGGTAATATTGTGTGGTTTTATGGATTAAGGAAATTTGTTTGCAGTCCGAGATATTTCAGATGCTTATGACAATTCCCGATAATTTGTAACAAGCTGTGATATTTTATCCCTGCAAAGTATTAATAAACAAAAAAAAGATCAGTTCTTTTATTTTTACTTCAAAATATTTATTAACCATTTAAATGGATTAAAATGAACTGCTCCATCATTAGATCAATATGTAGGCCAAAACAAATTTCATCAAGTATATGTAAACTCATATTCTTGTGTAGAGCCCGACTGATGTGGGTTTTTGGGGGCCGATGCCGATACCGATATTAAGGAGTAAAAAAGACCGATATCGATATATCGGCAGATATTCTTTATTTGTAGGCTATATTATAGTACAGTATAGTCAAATGTTTGGACACACTTCCCATTCGTGTGTCCAAACTTTTGACTGGCACTTTATATAGAATACAGTATATACATAAACAGAATATATACACATAAACACATTTTTTGCAATGATAACTCAAATGTGGTGATCAAACACTTATAATGATGTGACAAACATAGGCCTAATGGAGGCAGGGTATTTAACAATTTAACAATAAACTTCATTATTCAAAATGAGCACTTAACAGTAAACTTCACTTATTACAGATAACTTAAAAAACACAAATAGAACAAAATATATATAACTTGAATTAAGAAAATAAACAATAACTGTGTAGGGCAAGCAAGCTACACTGCCAAACCAGCAGGGGCAGGTTTATGCAGGAAGCACAGCTTTTCCAAATGTAAACATCTAAAATGAATAAATAATAATAATGAATAATATTTTTTCACAAATTCTGTGTTGTGTATTTTCTGGTAATCGAATGAACATGCAGAACATGAGGATTCGTATTTAAATAGTATTTTTGCAGTTTAATATTCACAGACACTATATCGCAATTTGATTTAAGTGTACTGACCTGTTTTTTATTTATTCATCAAAAATATGACAAATTCCATAAAATTCCGCATTATACAGTAAATTCTGTTTTTATGACTGGATTCCGCAATTCCGTCCATGTTTTCTGCATCGCGGAAATCACAGGGCCCTATAATGTAGCAAACGTAGTGAAAGTAAAAGATGGGTACGTTGTTTATTTACTTTAGCATTGAGTCTCTCCAACTAGGTGACAACGTAGCATTAAATCACCATTTAACAGACTCAAGCCACCACCGCACTGCCGTCTATTGGACTGCAGAAAGATACTAACTTCTCAATCTGCTATGTTACTGAGTCTGACAAACTATTCTGACACCGTGTCTGCGCCGCAACAGGACGTGACAAAGCAACCGTTGAAAATCATTTGAACTTTGTGTCAGCATGTTATAAATAGAACGAGGCATCAGTTTACTGCATCCAGTGCAGACAACATCACTGATTATAATGGGTTCTATTGTATTGTATCACGTGCCGCTCGCGTCTGGTATAGAAACCCAGTTAGGAAATGTGATGTGACCGATGTGATAAGCATGAGTTCTGGGCCGTGGCGTGGCCGGTATAAACACCAGCATTGATTGAGTGGCCGCGATCAGCTCCGGTGGCCGTAGAGCCGTAATGCGCCGCAGATGCGTGCCATGATGCGGAGATCAGCTCTAGTCTCTAACGTCACAGAATCTGCTGTTATCTGCTGTCATCCATTCGTCATATCATCATGCAAAACTAAGAATTTGAATCATTGTAATGTGATCAAATATAGGTGCGGGTGGGTGGCAGGCGGATAATTTATTTGAAGCAGCAGACTCTGGTGAAGTTTGAGCTCATCCGCGCATCTCTACACTACTGTACATTGAACTGGGTCGCCAATAGCAAACAACTGAACGCGCTCTGCTGGACAAACTAAGTAATTCAGAAGCATTTAATCTGTGTTGTATGTTCTGTAAAAAAATACAGATATATCTGCGACAGGCTCATATCGGCTGATAATATCGGCAAAACGATATATCGGTCGGGCTCTATTCTTGTGATAGTCAAACAAAGTAGCGGCTTAAAAATTAACATTTGAGGTCATTTATGTTGTAGAAGCAAACATGAAAGTACAAATGAACCACTACACCATGTAGTGAATCAGCTCATGGGGAAATATGAATAATTAATCATAACTAGTTATAATTAATTATAAATATTTAGATCCGCTGTAGATATTTACTTGACCTCTCAGGGTCAACTGTCTGTCAATTCTAAGGACCAGTCTATTGAATAACTGATTTGTTAAATCAAATGAAAAATTGTGTTTTTGATTGGTCCAGACGCTACAACCACTTTAACCACATCTTAATCTAAAAATATATTCTGCAATGTGTATTGTCCTGCATCTTAAAGTTAAAGCTGCAGTCCGTAACTTTTTTTGGTTAAAAATGATCCGAAATCAATATTTGAGCAAGTATATAACCAGCCAGTGTTCAAAACTATCGCCTTACTT